CCAAGAAACCCCAAAAAACAAGAACTACACAACAAAATGAAGTAATGCAATTAAGCAAATACCTAGCACTGAGCTCGAGCATTCCAAAGCTGACTTGGCAAACATTGCCAATGCAATTATGATCAAAGTTTTAATACAAGCCTGAGAAGAAATCCTTGTTCAGGAGGTTATTTAACCATTATATACATAACTGGTTCAGTAGCTGTGACATTGCTTTCCCATGGACTTGAATCCTGATTTTTCTGGAAAACAATCACTGTCCTTATATTTGTTAAAATTGTGTATGAATGGGGCCAAATATCATCTTTTAAGTTTTGGAGGGATTAGCACTTAAAGAAAGGGAATTGTTTCTGTTGTTGTTATTCTAAGCTTACTCAGTTCCCCACCTTCTTGAAGAATTCACACTTTGGTCCATTAGATAGGTGAAAAATGATTATCTATTTCTGTCATCTTGGTAGGCTTTCTACCATGACAGTACCAACTACAGTATTTTGGCACAACACCTGTGGTTCCTATTTCTCCCAGTAGAAGTTTAGATCCTTCTGTTTTGCCTGTAAAGCAAGAATTAACTATTTATTCCTGCTCTTGGTTTTATAATTTAAATTAATCTAATTAAACTACTGTGCTTGCACTTCTGTTATTTGGCATCGGAATATACATGCCTGGTTTGGGAAAGATAGGTACATGCAAAGAAGCTATACACTGTGTTGAACAAAAGTGCCAGATGCTTTACTCAATGTCTTAATGTCAATAGTCATCACTTATTCACTGGAATTCACCAGACCTCAGGAGAGCAGTAGCAAACAAAACAGAACACACCTGTCAGATCAAAGCCAGGAGGCAACCACTATGTGGGCACATTGCATTCCCCAGTAGATTAAAATCACAGAAAAATGTCCTCTCTCTAACACAGCCACTGAATGGAACACTAACAATCACACAAATGAAAATGTGGCAGTCATGATCAGAGATGATCCAGAAAGGAATTAGGAAGAATATCAAAACTGACAAACGTCTTGCAGGCACAGAGCTTGATTGGCCAATATGGAGAAGCTTGAACCGCTGCTGAACAGGGGTTCAAGACTAAAGCTAACATGCAACTGTGGGGATACTCCAAGGATGCAAATGGCATGTACCCATGTGGAGGAAACTTTCACACTACAGAACACCTGTTCATCTGCCCATGTATAGGGGAATGATGCACCAAAGAACACCCCGCAAAAGCTACAGATACAGCAACAGTATGTGTCCATTGCTGGACCCAAATTTGCAGTGGTGGCAGGACATGATAAGAATCTAATTAACAGTTAACATAATTTTATTCTGAATTGTAATCTATACTTACCTGAATCTAAATTTGTTTTTAAATACTTTTACAGTTTAAACCCACCCTTCTTACAAGCCCTCCACTGCAAATTCCACAACCACACCCTCCACCCCACAGTCACACACTCCACAGACACTGTAAACCCCACACCTCCCATGTATTGCCCCCCTACTCCACACACACACCCACATGCCTCTAGGGGGAGCCCTGCTCATTGCTGTGCACATACCCCCCCCTCCGCAAACCTATGTCCATCCACCCAAATCCACACATACCCCTACACCCCACATCCACAGTCCCTAACAGACCTATACCCACCCCTCGCAAGAGTAAGACTTCATTTTGAGGTATTATGCAATCACCTCTATATATGCAACACAAATACACAAATTGGGAAAACAATTTTTTTTAAATAAAATGTTATTGGCAATATTTGATTTTTAGTATATCATTTGCCTTTTTTCCAGTTCCAAGATGGCAAACCCTTCTCCCAGAAGGAGTACTTCTGGGGACAAGGGGAAGGACTTCTGGTGGCACCATATTTCCAAGTCCAAAAAGGAGGACATTTGTCATGGAGCAGCAGGGAAGGGGGGCGGGAAGGGGAGGAGAATATAATGGTGAGGGGGCAGTGACATGGTGGTACTCTGCCCTTGCTCATTCTGTTGCCCCTCACTGACAACCCCAGCCCTGCTGCTGCCCTTCACTCTGGACCCACTGATCCCAGCACTGCCAGTGCTCTCCACACCTTGCTGGTGCCCCTCACTCCCAACCCGCAGCCCCTTGGCACTACCAGTGCCCTGCACACCCAACCCGCAGTCACACATCTCATTCCCCATGCCCCTCACTCCTGATCCTCAAGCTCCTTGCCCCCCACCCAGCCCTGACGTGTCCCTCACTCCCTACTCACAACCCCTGCCCCCTTGCTAGTGCCCTTCACTCCAGACCCACAGCCCTGTGCCCCTCCCCCCCAACCTGCAGCCCCTGCCCCACCCAACACTGCTGGTGCCCCTCACTCCCCCCGCCACAGCCCCTCCCCACCCAGTGATGGCCCTTACCCCTGACCACAGCCCCCTGGCCCCCCAGCCCTGCTGGTGGCCCTCACTTCTGACCCACAGCTCCCTGTTCCCCAGCCCTGCTGCCCAAGCAGCTCCCGCGTTGCTCTCTTGCTCTCCATCCCTCCCTCCCCCTGGCTGTTCCTGTGCTCTATTGCAAGCTGATTGGCTGTCAGGGTCACATGACCCCCAACAGCCAATCACCTTGCCCGCTGCTCCCAGCTCCCCTGGGAGGGCAGAACTGCAAAAAATCCAGACATTTTGCTCTTATTTTAGAAACCCACCCAGACACAGCATGGTGGGGGAAGCAGAACAGAGGACATTTCCAGGAAAACCTGGATGTATAGTAACTCTAGGCAAAGGTCAGGGGGTGGGACTTCCAGTCCCAAGATGACAACTGGGGGCAGGGGATCCTTGCGGACCTTGACAGCTTACTAAAACTTAAGTGGCCCTCCAGCCAAAATAATTGCCCACCCCTGGTTTAAACCTACTTTTCCTCTGTTCCTTTATAGCTTTATCAACTTACCATTGCCTCATCAAGATGGTTTACCTGCTTCCTTGCAGAGTTCATGGAAGAATTTTCTCTTTTATTAAGTAGGACAAGCATCATCTTGATTGTATTTCTGAACAGGAGCTTTATTTTCCAATGCCTTATTTAATATTGTAATGACTATTAGGACTTACCATTTCTCCATGTCCTTCTAGAGAAGCTCCATAAGAAAAGTGCGTGGTCCTACTTCTTAAATTAGTTGGCGATCTGCAGTAGAAGACACTTTAGAAGAGACTCAGTTGCCAGTCTAAATCTGTCTGGAAAATTTGTAAGTGGGTAGTTCAGTCTTGTTCAGGGAAGCCTGGTCTCACTACCATATTCTGTGCTGTAGGGTCATAGAAGACCGTACCAAACAGCAACCACAAAGGTAAAAAAGAAATGCAAGAGTCTATAAGAAGGCACAGTGTAACATAAAATATTTAATATTAAAAAGGGAAAACTACCATAATTCTTGAACATTAGTATTTATCAAGAGAAATATGACTGTTAGGACTTGCAAGTGATTTCATAAAAAGCAGATTTTTGTTTGTTTGTTTTTAGCACCTCAGTTAATTCAAGGCAGCAGCCCTTCTACTTGGAAATCCTGCCACCAAGAACATGTCAATCTTCTGCTTTGGTTTTTGTACTCTTCCCCCACTCACCTGAAATACCAATTAAGTGCAAGGCTTCAGTTTATCTTGAAAACATTCCAAAGGATTAAGCAAAACTATCAAAGCAACAAAATGACTGACTAATAATCTCCCATAACTTTGCATGTCCTTTGGAACAATTTAAGTTTAATTAGAGAAACAATATTGATACATCAATATTATACATCAGGAATACAGTACTTTTAATAGGTGACCGGTAACTGTGAAACTCAGTTTCAGAAGAGATTAGGTTATCTCCTCTTTGCCTTCAAGAATGAAATACAAAGTCCAGGTCGTCAATAGCCTTCCCCCTGATAATAAAAGTTATATGCAAAATTGAATAAAGAAACCATGAATGAAGGATGACTACAGAAAGAGAAATGTGTGTGCATATTTTCCAGAGGTGCTAAGATTCCATGATGATGAGCATGCTTTGGAAGTAAGGGCAAATTGTTTGATCATACTTTATTAGACGCATACAAGAGAGTGAAAAAAATGTATGAGGTTTTTTGGTGCCATGCTTTTATTTAAATGAAAAGGAAAAATTACACTGTACCACATAAGTAGCAATGACAATATTTTACAGCACAGCATTTGAAAAAATATGGAAGCAATGCTCCACAGAAGTGGACAATAAGCACACAATACACTGTACATTTTTCAACAGTGCCCATAATTAAATAGCGGAATTTGGCTTTAAACAGCCAAACAATAAAAACTAACAGTCATACTAAAAATTTAAAAAAATGATTTCAGTAGCTATTATGACTGTTAGTTTGAAATTTTGCTTTAGAAATTAAGATGAGTGTTTGGCAAATTCAGTCATAGCAACAATAATAATAATACCCCTGATGAAAGCACCAGTGTGTTCTGAAAAGGTCAGTGATAAATACTGGCCTTTGTGATAAGCTATTTTCCTTTATTTTTTAAACGTGACCTCAACCAAAGATCCACTGTAATTAAAAAATTTGCAGGCTTAAAAAGGAAAAGTATCTCTGTCTCTACTTTTCCTGTACAGGCAGTCCTTGACTTACAATGTTTCAAGTTACAACATTTATAAATTGACACCCTGTTTCAACTTTCTGACCTCAGTTTTGACTTTACAATGCTTGATCTGATACAACTTCACATCAGTGAACAAGTTTGCTGCGTTGCCCGTGTCCCTGGGGAACATCTGTCCAAACTTCCTTGGACACTTTCTTTAAGAAAAACCTGCAACCAAGACTCCTGAGGAGACTCCAGCCAAGAACGCTTCGAAAAATCCAACCAAGAGCCCTTCAAAAAGCCCAGCAAAGTCACTTCAAATAAGTCCTTCCAAATCAATATGATTGCTATTTACAATATAAATGTATTAATGTAGCTATATTATTCATTTATAACTGATTGAGTACAAAATTCTGGGTTATTTTTGGAGAAAATAGGGTATCAGGCCTTGGTTCAGGAACCAATCCCCATTTATAACATTGTTTTCTATGGGAAAAACGATTCCGAGTTACAACGTTTTGACTTAAGACACAGTTTCCAGGAACCAATTATGTCATAAGTCCAAGGACTGCCTGTATTAAGTAAAATGCTTTGCTGCAAGCAATGAACTTTTCAACTGCATTATTCACATTCTACTTTTAGACATTACACAAATCTTTTCAGACCTGTAGACAAATATAAACTCCATAATACATTCAGTCATATTTAAAAAGATTCAAAGAATTCCTGTCATGTATTTAAACTCACTTTGTTTAGAAGGACGTGTATGCATCGATGAATGTTGCAAGTCTGTAGTAAATCATAGGTTTAGTTTTAGAAAGAAAAAGTCTCCTATGATAAAACTCTTCTCGAGCTTATTCAACATAGGCATATATCTGTCAGTTCCATCCCCATCATGGACTTTTCCTAAACAAATTTTTGCTATTTGCAAGTTTGCATGGTTACTCAAAAGCTTTTCCTACAGTAAAGTAGTTGCAGGAGCTGTCTAACAGGCAGAATGTGCAAACCTTCTTCCCCCCTACTTTTAATTTTTATTTATATAATATATACACAATATGTATACACTTGAAGTATAAGAGTTACATATCCTGGTCATATACATGCAAACAGTAAGAATTAGCTAACCACAAATAGTTTTGAGTCACATACATCATAAACATGTACTTTAAAGTTTTTTTCTTGTTTTTTTTACATTTTTAACAAATATACATAAATATAAGAACATAAATTACAGTAAAATATTGACAGCATTTCTGAGAAAATGTTCATAAACAACCCAGATGCATTGATGCCTAAGGCCTTATAATAATTAAAAAAGTACTGTTCTAAATTGTTTAAGGATATCTCATTCCTGTGCATCTTTTATATAAGTAAATGAGTACAACATTGTAATGAGGCTAGATTTCTCTCTAAGAAGACTGAGAGAAATGTACATAATTTTAGTCTCTACTCCTAATGAAACTGAATGGACCACATAGTTCTAGTACAATACTGTCTTTAAATTTACAGTCATCACAACACTGAAACAGAACAGGATCACAAATCATTCAAGTCTTTTCCTGAGAATGAGTTTTTTCCCCCCAACTAATCCTCTGGTATACATTGCCAAAAAACCCACAGATTTGGGGGAGGTTTCAAGTTTGTAGTTTTCTTCAGAATAATGCTATGATTAAAGTGATTATAAAAAAAGAAAAATGCTAAATAATAATAGCGTTAATAAAGTGATCACACACTGTTTTGAAATAAAAATGCAGCCCTTTGTAAATAATACTGATGTATGCTCCAATAGTTAATTTCATAAATGGTTATATTTGTTATAAACATATTGAAATGTTTAGATTTTTGTCATGTTTATTATTTAAAAATTGATAATATGAAATTGTCATTAATAAGTGTATGTCAAGAATGTTACTTTTTTTTTTTTTTTTTTTAAAGGCAGACATACTGAAAACACATTTATCTAAAGGAAATATTATTTAAGTCTGATAGCATGGATACACAGAGTAATTCCTGCCTGTTAGAGGGAAAGGATTTGGTGCATCAGCTACTTCACAGTGACCAACTATGCATATGTTCTTACCATGTAGTAAATTAGAGCTAATCCATGGTATTTTACCCCTTAAAACCTGAATGGACCCTCAAGAAAAGGTGTTAAGCTTCTGCAGGTAAGCTTTCAATAAGTGAAGATAGGAATGTGACCACAGCTAGTTACCATGGTGAACCTGATGCACTGTGAATCCTTACCGTTGGCTACCTTGTAACAACTTGTTCCACCCTACCTGTGCCCTCAGTTAGGTAGGAGTTGAGGTGGTCAACGCAGACTTCGTCAGTGAATTGTGCGAGTCTTTTGAATATTTTACTTGCTAAAAAGATAATGTAATCTGAAGGAAACCTCCCTTTAAGCAGCTCAAAGGTTTTCCCCTATTGTTTAGTTGAAAACAGTTAAGCAAACCAGTATTTACTTGGTTGAAATTAATTGTAAATACTCAGGGGGGAACAAATCTTCCAGTAATGTAGATACAACAATATAGAAAGAGGGTTCTAGAGGAGTACCTATTATGCCTCCTGATAAACTACTTATCTGTTAGCCTTCAGGGTAAGATTCACTGAGTAAAAGTAAATGGCATTGAAAAATGTTTAAAAAAGGTGTTTCCTTAGAGGAGAAAATTGCCAAAAAAAGGAGAAAGTTTCAAGACAAGCACAAAACAAAGTAAAAGGCAACAAATGTAAAATGTAATTTGTCACTACAGATGAACAACATTCAGTGCTTCAGTGTATCTAATCAAAATAGAGCAACTATACCCTCTACACCATATTAGCACATACAAATCTCCATACATGAATCAAATATTTCCATGACCACTTGAAAGCATCACCAAGTGATAATCTTCTGTATTCCTAAACACTGTGTTTACATTCCAGTTGTGCATGATAATAGAGCTTGGTGTCCAGTTTTAAGTTCTAAAAGTCTCGTTGGCAACTAGAAATCTATTTTCTATAGGCAGTAAAGATGAAGTGCAAGTGTATCACAACTGTCTGAAGCAAATATTTTCCCCATCTACTATGCCTTGGTAGATAAGAGTTTTTTAGGAGTTACAGGTCTCTTGGTTTGCCACAAATGGCTGTGAATGGTAATTGCGTCAACACTGGCAGACAAAGTTTTAGCTGGTATGTGGCTAAACTGCTTCCTGTCCGAGTTGTATTTATATAGTCCCTCTATCATTTTTTTTGTGATAGATTTGGGGCCTATCCCAGTCAGTTTATTGATTTCTTCAGTGTCAGGGCAGTACGTATACAAAGATCTGAATTGGCAGCCTGAATCCCGGAACAGGATTAAGAAGTTATTGGCATCAGACTTCTCCATTTCCTTTAAAAGAACAAGAAAAAATGGGGTTTACAACATGTCATTTTCATTGTAACTAGAAATCCATTAAACTCATAGGGGTGTGTGCGTATTTATCTATATATCTAGATCGATCTCTCTCTCTCATAGATATAATCTCTAATGTGTATATATATATACATACACCCCCCCATGTATATGCCAGACATACACACACGTCTATCTACTTATCTACTGTACGTATTGTGATAATCTTTAATTACTAGATCATAACAGTATGGTCCACAGTAGCCCCTGCTCCTTCAGCCAATGAAGAAGACAGATCGGAAATCACAGAGACTATTCCAATCTTTCACAAAGCATTTACATGGCCATGATAGAGATTCCTTTCCAGTCTTCCTCATCCTGAAATATCTTCCTAGATAGGCTAGATGTAGGCCTTATCTTTACTTTTATATGTAAAAACATACCCTTACCTCCAATATTTTCTTCTTCTGACCTTCATTTACTTTTCCAGCCAGGCAACAATGAGCCAAAGCATTCTGAATTATATGTTTGTTGGATTTTGCACTAGGTTCCTTGTACAGCTTTGGTCCTAAGAGAGAGAACTGAGAAATCAGCTAAGTGAATCAGTAAATTAGAATAATTTTAAACACTATGAAATGCATTTTCCATTTTATCTTTGCATGTTATGCAAACCTAGCACCCAAAGGAAGTGAGCAGAAACTAGACATGCTACACAAACAGACCGACTGTGATTCATCTGTGAACATATCACATGATTGCATCTCGTAATTATACCTTATCATGTTCAGTGAAGAAACCTAATCTTTAAAACACTGTTTCCCCAAACAATACATCTTTCAGTATTACAGCACCATTAAAGGAGTTTGGGTTAATATATTTGATGTCATAAAATTAGGGTGACCCCTTTAGCAAGTGTTGAAACAAGACAATCCACTCCTTCCTGCTCTCTAGCATGCTCAGCTGTCTGTGAGCTATGTTCTCAGCTGAAGAGCAGAGTGGAAGGGAGAACTCAGGTGATACAGATTCTTTAATGAACCTTTGGTATTTAAAAAATGGTTCTTTTTTTTTTAAACATGATGCAAACTATAGTGTACTGTTAGCAAAAAAAGAATTCTTAATTTCCTTTTACATTCCAATCTATGGAACAGATTTTCCCCTGTAAAGCTTGTTGTTTGTTCTCTGAAGTTTTTGGTTCTAGACTGATCCCATGTTTTCTACTCTTCTCACCTGTTACTACAGAAATGTTAGCAGAGAGGTATAGAAAAATGACTCATGCATAAAGTTACTTTTGAGCATTTGATGAACTGGAGCCTAAATGTGTAGTTGATTTTGGTAGTTTAAAGCACTGCATTTTCACTACCTTTTATGTTGTTTTAAATTATATCATTTTAAAAAGGAGATAAATTCTGAATCTCTAAGAAAGAATCTTAAGTTTTGCTACAGCAACAGCAAATAAGGGAAAACTTAAATACTTTGTCTACAGTCGCTTCTTACACTTTAGCACTCCCCATGAATGTTACCAGTACTGACCCGTGTATTCTGTAGCAGAAGCCACTGAAGAAGTTGTAGATGCATTTTCCCAGTCTTTTTCCCCATTGCGACTACCACAGCGACTTGGAGATAAGAATCCTTCTACAGACTCAGACCTAAATATTTTATAAAAACAGGTTTTCCTTTCAGGATTGAGCAGACCACATCTAAGAGAAAATTCCCTACATTTCCAGCCAAGAGGCCTTTTAAACTTAAAAAGAAAATTAAAATGTATTTAAGATAGAAGACTGAAGGATTTGCATTATAGGTTTCAGGTCCAAAACAGGAGTAGCTCTACACATGTATCTTCTGAATATTTTAATAATAGTGGTTCAAGATTATATTCCTAAAGAGGAGGAAGAGTAACTTTAAGGCAGCATACCAGGGAAAGA